AAAAAAAAAAAAAAAAAAAAAAAAGAGTAGCAATGGAGGCCGACAGAATATCCCAGCTGCCAATACATATACTTCACCACATAGTATGTTTCATCTCACAGAAAGAAGCTGTGAGAACTTGTCTACTCTCCAAAAAATGGCGCCACATAGGATTAACCCGCCCCAACCTCGAATTTTTCGAAGATTCGTTCGACTTATCCAGAACCCTACAAGGATACCTTGATCAGAACCTCTCCATACACAAACTCCGTCTCGACTTATCCACGCCCGTCTCACCACCAGTCATCTCCCTTCTCAACAAATGGATCCCACTAATAGCCGCCCTCAACGTAAAAGCGTTTGAACTTAACTTTCTTTCATATACTCCTGCATATTACGACCTGCCCTCGGAAGTGTTCTTAGCCGAGTCCCTCGAAGAACTACAGCTGTGCAAATGCAGGCTGATCCCGGTCGAGAGTGTGCGGTTTAGAAGTTTGCGCAAGCTCACCCTCAAAGAGTTCCAAGTTGATGGCAGGACTTTCGACACGAAAATGTTGGGCTGCCCTTTGCTTAGGTGCCTGGTCCTTATACGTTGTTGGGAGTTGAAACGTTATGGTGAGCGAGGAGGCATCGCCTGGGCTCAAGCACTTTGTATTGTGGGATTTCGAGAGGATCGAAGGGCGTAGCATCAAAATCGATGTCCCGAATCTGGAGACGATCACTATCAATGGCAAATGGATTTGGTGTCACCGCCGAAGCGCATTCTTGTTCTCTCATCTCACGAGATTGGATCTCCATAGTGTGATCCTGTCGAGCGAGTCGTTCGACCTGTTCTTGTTCCGCTGCCCAACACTTGCCAAATTGACCCTAGATAATTGCTCCGGTTTCGAGGAATTCCATCTTGCAAGTGATTCGGTCAGGTTCTTGACCATATCGACACCCGAGATATTGCTTAAAGGAGTTAAGGTTTGTGCCCCGAACATTCTCGATTTCAAGTTCAGAGCCCGTATTCCCCAGGTGCCGGACACATTATCCTTCACAAGCACTGCTTCCGTGATGCCGCATTAAAAAGTATTCCTCTCTTCATGTGAGGATGATCCCGATTTCGACGTCAATCAGTGGTTCCTTAAGCTGAGACGATTGCTCAAGGTACTAAGTGGGTCTCTTATTTTTATGTTTCTCGAGATGGACGGCGGCCCTCAGGATGTCTCCTGTAGGACTGTTTTCTGTGACGAGCCGCCTGTGGTAGTGTGGAGCTTAAATTTTCATACTTACAAATGCCACACGGCGTCTTGGTTCTTGGAGTTTACGAATGGCTTGTTTCGTGTTTGTCGACCGAGTAGCGTGTGGGGTTGTAGGCTCATGAGAGAGTCAGACAGGAAGTACTACAGGCTCTCGGAGTTTCAGTTAAACATCTTGCTTGCATACAAGAACGTCGATTTGGAAGAAGTTCACGTCGATGGGCAGCTCGTGCAGTGGAAGACCAGTCGGAATTGCGAAACAGGACGTATGACAGGGAAATATGGCTTGAGTTGAAATGGAGAGGTCAGACAGGGATGTATGGCTTCTATTGAAATGGAGAGGTCAGACAACACGGAATTAGTACTACACTTGCTTGCGTTTATATTTAGTATACATCTATCTTATACAAATGAGTTTAAATTTTTCTAATTGTGATGTGATCATTTGAAATTAATGAGTATCACATTCTGTCATGGTTTTTACCACAACAAAAAAAAAAAAAAAAAATGTTGTCCTAAAGTCATACCTTTGCATAGCAAATTAATCTGATCAGCTAGAATATTCAATTGTTATGTGATCAATTGCAACAAACAGAGTTTCACATTCTGTCATGGGTTTTACCATAAAAAAATTATAATAATAATAGTCCGAAAGTCGTACCTTGGGTAGCAAATTATCATCTCGTGATCAGCTTCGATTTTCTTTCATGTTGTATTTTTAAGAAAATTAAAGTATATTTATATTTCAAGTAGTTATATAATTATATAAGTTATAAAAATTACTATAATATAACACATTTAAATCACACAATTAACAAATGTCATTCTAAAATATATAATAATATATATATTTTTTTATATAAAAGTAAAATAAAATTTAAAATAATTTTTCTCATAAATTTTAAAATTAATAAATAATTTTAGTTCTATATTATATCCAAACATGAGAGACCAAAATGACTCATCTACAAGTGGTTATTGATATGGATACAAATAATTTGATAGCTTATTGAATTAACAACTTTAGTCAACTAATACAAGTTGGTAAATAATATATACTAGTACATACTCTTGTATTAGATAGATACTTAAATATATTAATATTTGTATACTAATAAATATAAATAATTTACATTTTTATTGTGAAATTATTATGATGAATATGCAATAATATTAAATAACTAACAAAGTGATAATTAATTCAAATGATGCTCGTATTTTTACACTAAATTTGCCAAAACATTATTTTTAATTATATTTTTAAAATTATGTATGTATAAATTTGTTATTTACAACTTTATATATTTGATTTGATTTTTATTTAAAAAAAAAACAAAACAAATTTTATTGTATTGTGATTATATTAGAGTCAGTATCTCACGTTTATTAATTTTTTAAGTATTTTAAATTCTTATAATTAATAATTTGGAATTTACTGAAAAATAAAATATTTTCTAAATTTATGAAATATAAAATAATTTTATTATATTTAATTATGATGTTATTTTATATTTACTACTAGTACGTAACCCCGTGCGATGCACGGGCTGTTTGTTTTGGTAAAATTTATAATATCGTAGGGAATTTATCAGGTAATCAAAAAATGTTCATCATGAAAAAGTCATACATTGTTAAAATCCTTCTTGTTTTTCCATGCAAATTATCTTGCACTTGACAACTGTAGATCGATATTTATAGTAATTGCTAAGTTACACATGTAATTTCCTACCCGTAAAATACATATTAATTATATTTTATGAATATGAAATTATATTTAATTATGTATTGACTTGTGGTAATATGGATTTGTGATTTTCTATTTCAATTTAACAGTTTCATTTTTAACATCGATCGAAAATGTGATTTTTGAAATTATTGTGTTTCATTATACAATAGATTTAGTTTTTCAAATCATATTATGAATAGCAAATAGTTTTCCAAATGATAAATATGAGTAGCACACAATGTAAATTAAATTTTGACAACAAAAATCGCTATGACATAAAAAAAACAAAGGATCGGGTATCAAATTTGTACCAAAAGCAATTAATTAAAAATTCAATCTAGTTCTCGAAAATCATTTAAAAATTTTAGCCAAAAATAAAAGGTTAATCTCATTTTGAAATGTAATCAACGAATCTACTAACCAATTTAGCTTAACCTTTTTTTGGCAAGCTCCTTAATAAACACAGGATATTCAACCTTCAAAAGAGGATATTTATATCCAGCCACAAAAAGAGGAGATTTATTTGGATTTTGATTTCATATTTTTATTGTATTTTTAAAAAAAATCAGAAAAAATAGATATACTAATAAATCATGATGTTGTTAATTTACTATGCTTAGGCAATAATTAATGAAATTGGCGGGAAGTGTTTCTAAAAGTGAATTATGTTAATCCTTATTATATATTAATAGATTTTAAATAACATATTAACATTCAATATTTTTTTTTATTCCATTTAAATTAGAAATTTTATTTTATAATATTTCTTAAATTTATTTAAGTAATTTTATCCAAAATTTATGAAAAAAAGAAATAAAAAATGATTATTATATGTTGTACTTATGAATTAGTTTTTTATTATTTTTACGAAATAATTTATATTGTTATAAAATGTTTGTTAAATTGAGTTGATAATAAAATTGATTTTATTTATAAACATAGATGAAATTATTTTTTATTTTATATCTGCAACATGTATGTCAAATCGAATGTCGTTAAAATATGATTATTTTGGTACATCATATATAAAAAATAAAGTACAAATAAAAAATTTATAAAGTTTTAAAAGTAAAAAGAATACAAATTTATAATAATTAATACATGAATTAAATAAAAAAAAGTAAGAGTAATATATAGTAACTTGAGAAAAAAAAAGAAAGCATAAATATTTCATGGTAATTCACAAGCCTAATATTTCTCTACTTTTTCCTTTGTTTCATGATATGATATGAGATCATTTGATTGGCAAACTCGCCTTTTTTTTTTTTTTGGTATTCAATAGAAGTGTTGGATTGTTTTGGAATTAGTTGAAAAATATTGAAGTTGATTTGTTCTAGTGAATTTTTGGCATGTTGCCTTAGTCTACAAATGATTTTACTTGTAGGCTAATTTTTTAAATCGTTTGTATTTATTTATTTTCCGCTGCGTAATTTAATTTCTGATTTTCACGTGAAATCTGGATTTATCGGTACTTAAAATTCTAACACTTACGAAACACATGAGCCCCACACTCAAACTCAGTGCATTAGGGAATTATATATAGGAGCGATATTCGAGAATTATATATAGAGGCGGTATGATATATGCAAATATAATTTTTCTTTTTTTTTAAAGACATTTTGAATTCAGAAAACCCATTTCAAGTATTAAATTGAAGATTTCATATGTCAAACTCCTATCCATCTCAAACATGCAATTTAGTCTCAACCGTTGTTTTTATTGACAAATATTTTCCAAATAACTTCCATACCCCCATACATAAATCATTTTTCATTTTCATGAATTTGTAAGTGATACTTTTCGAACTCTAATTATAAAATATCTATTATATTATTTTTATAATAAGTTACATATGTATATTGTGAGATCACAAAGGATATACATCCTCAACTCGAAGTTTTTTCAATACAAGGTGTGAAAGATGTGAAAATTATCAATTCGGGGTTGAAAGATTTTTTTTTCTCAATTCGGGACTTAAATGTTATAAAACTATCAAATTAAGTCTTACAATTAACAACACTCATAAAACTATTAAATGAGAGTTAATTTGAAGTTTTAAAACACCAAATCTGTTTTTTTTTTAATATTATGCAAATATTTACTCATTATTTTATGTGAGTAAGAAACAATCTTTTATTTTTCTTCATATTTGGTGTTTTAAAACTTTAGATTAACTCTCAATTTAATGATTTTATGAGTGTTGTTAATTGTAGGACTTAATTTGATAGTTTTGTAACATATAGGTCCGAATTGAGAAAAAAAATCTTTCAAGCACCGAATTGATAGTTTACTTATCTTTCAGATGCCTTGTATTGAAAAAACTCCTGATCAACTCCCATTGTTTTTTTTTCGTTAAATAAATTTGTATTGATCAAAACTGGAAGTCATACAACCAGACGGCTTTCAAGTCGAAGCGGGTAGCCACATGTCGGCTCCTCACTCGAAACTATCAAAATCGAGGGCTTACCCACAAACCGGGAGCTCGCTCGAATAAGAAAACCTATAAAATCCAACAAAATGGTGGCAGGGGACGCGCGCGTGAAATTCCTGGGTAGCGCCGCTAGCCAACGGTAGCGGCGCTAAGGGCGACGTGACGTGATATGGTGCGACAGGCGCTAGCGGCGCTAGCTTGCAGGTAGCGGCGCTAGGTCGATTGAAGCGCCGCTAGCAAGGTAGCGCTGAAGGCCACCTTTCCTCTGTTGAGCAGGTAGCGGCGCTAATAGCATGGAAGCGGCGGTAGGATCGCCTTAGCGGCGCTAAGGCCCCTTAGTGCCGCTAAGCCTGGGTAACAGCAGAATTTTGTATCCTTCCTTTGTTTTGCTCTTCCAAGTGCATATGCACTTATCCTCAATCAATCCAAGCACTTCACAATTTACACATCAATATCAAGCATTCTACACATTCTCCCGGGTGCTCGGTCTCCCTTCAACCTCCACTCTCAATATCAAAACATTAATGGCCAAGGTTTCACCTCTCAAGTTCGATAAGTACATTAGGGTAGAGAGCAAATATAGTGCGATAGACATGGGTTTTTACCTTCCGTATCACAAGGCTTGGGGGTTGGTATTCATTTTCGAAGACCAACCTATTCGCTAGTGTCGCTTTCTTCAATTTGGATCTCCAACTAAACCCTCTCGCCTCCTTTTTAGTCCATTTGAGAGCGCCTTTAAAGGTAGTTGGTCTATGGTGAAGACTTACCCAAGTACGAATTTCACCCCAAATCTCCAAGCTAAAAGAGAACTCAAAGAATAGGTGACTCGAGGATTCATTTGCGACTCCGCATAGAAGGCACATCGGGTCTTCGTCAAGGAATTCTAGACGGTCTTTTGTCCGGAGTCGATTAAGGGTTCCAAGCCATAGAATGAAGGAGTGTGTAGGGGTATTGCAAGCCCCCCAAACCACTCCACTCCAAGGCCTCGTGGTTCCTCTAGGACGAAGGTAGTCGTAGCATTTGCTAGCCCCATCTTGCCAACTCCCATTGTTAAATATGCATACATTTGTTTCATTATTCGTGTAATCATATTTTACTCCTATCAATAATAATTCTTAGACAATCTTCTCATATCTATTTTTCAAGAAATTTTCCCCTATCATTGTAATTGGGAATAGCAAATATCAATTACACTAAAAGTTAATCACTTAAAATTAGGATTAGTTGTTAAGATATGCATAATTATACAACAAACATATTTATTTAGGAGTGCTGAGATAAGTACGTATAACATTTATTTATTTAATTTCCTCTCATCTCACCAAAATAAATAGGGATCTTGCAATTTCGGTTCCTTTTTTCTCCAAGTATGCATAGAAAAGTAGTTTGAACATGATCAAATTTGTTCTTTTATGACTAAAAATTTGTTAACAATAAATGAAGTGCAATTAAAAAACGTGAGAAAATAAACATAGTTGTGTAACGAAACTGTGGATAGGCGTTATAAAAAATAAAAATTATTTGGAACTGTTTTCGTATGTTTCTAACAGATTCATAGACTCATAGTGATATTAGAAGACTGATTCAAGAAGCTTTTTGTTAAAAAAAACTGAGTAACTCATTTTCATAAGCTCTTGTATCAATGGACGACGACAGAATATCTCAGTTGCCAATACCTATACTTCACCACATACTATGTTTCATCTCACAGAAAGAAGCTGTGAGAACTTGTCTACTCTCCAAAAGATGGCGCCACATAGGATTAACCCGTCCCAACCTCGATTTTTTCGAAGAATGGTTCGACGACATACCAGAAAAGCTTGTTTCCGTCATCAGCCGAGCTCTACAACGCTGCCGTGATCAAACGCGCTCCATACTGCACCGCATTCTCTCTCTCCTCCTCTGCAAAGGATCAACTCGCCTCAACCTCGACTCTTCCGAAATATTGTTCAACATTACACGACAAAACTTTGTCTCCGTAGTCAACCGAACCCTACAAGGTTACCTTGATCAGAACATCTCCATACACAAACTCCATCTTGACTTATACAGCCCCAACTCACGACCGGTCATCTCCCTTCTTGACAAATGGATCCCGATAATAGCCGCCCTCAACATAAAAGCATTCAAACTCCACTTTTATTCATTTACTCCGCCGTACTACGACCTGCCCTCGGCAGTGTTCTTAGCCGAGTCCCTCGAAGAATTACACCTGTGCAAATGCAGGCTGAGCCCGGTCCAGAGCGTGCGGTTTAAAACTTTGCTCAAGCTCACCCTCGAACGGGTCCAAGTTGATGGCCGCACTTTCGACACGAAAATGTTGGGCTGCCCTTCGCTCAGGTGCCTGGTCCTTTATAGTTGTTGGGAATTGAGAAACGTTAGGGTGAGCGAGGAGGCATCGCCTGGGCTCAAGCACTTTGTATTGTCGGATTTCGAGAGGATCGGAGGGCGTAGCATCAAAATCCATGTCCCGAATCTCGAGACGATCTCTATCAATGGCCAATGGATTTGGTGTCAATGCCAAAGCGCATTCTTGTTCTCTCGTCTCACGAGTTTGGATCTCCATAGTGTGATCCTGTCGAGCGAGTCGTTCGACCTGTTCTCGTTCCGCTGCCCAACACTTGCCAAATTGACCCTAGATAATTGCTCCGGTTTCGAGGAATTCCATCTTGCAAGTGATTCGGTCAAGTGGTTGAGAATCTCGACACAGAAAATACCGCTTAAAGGAGTTACGATTTGTGCCCCAAACATTCACGGTTTTATGTTCAATGCTCGTATTCCCCAGGTGCCGGACACATTCTCTTTCACGACCACTACTTTCAATGTGTGGCACTCATTAATATTCCTCTCTTCGTATGAGGATGATCCCGATTTCGACGCCAATTTGTGGTCCCTTGAGCTGAGACGAGTGCTCATGGCATTAAGTGGGTCTGAGATTTCTCTGTGTCTGGCGATGGACGGCGGCCCTCAGGATGTCCCCTGTAGTGCTGTTCTCGGTGACGAGCCGCCTGTGGTAGTGCGGAACTTGAATGTTGATACTTGTAAATGTCGCACGGCGTCTTGGTACTTGGAGTTTACGAATGGCTTGTTTCGTGTTTGTCGACCGAGCCGCATATGGGGTGGTAGGCTTGTGAGAGAGTCCGACAGGAAGTACTACAGGCTCTCGGAGTTTCAGTTAAACATCTTGCTTGCATACAAGAACGTCGATTTGGAAGAAGTTCACTTCGATGGGCAGCTCGTGCAGTGGACAGACCAGTCGGAATTGCGAAACAGGACGTATGACAGGGAAATATGGCTTGAGTTGAAATGGAGAGGTCAGACAGGGATGTATGGCTTCTATTGAAATGGAGAGGTCAGACAACACAGAATTAGTACTACGCTTAGCTTGCTTTTCTATTTAGTATACATCTCTCTTATACAAATGGGTTTAAAATTTTTCTAATGGTTATGTGATCATTTACCCCAAAAAAAAAAA